ATAACACCTCGGACACGTGCTACAGTGTGACATTTTTCCTTTAATGATGACAATGACACCTCGGACACGTGCTACAGTGTGACATTTTTCCTTTACTGATGACAATAACACCTCGGACACGTGCTACAGTGTGACATATTCCCCTTATTGATGACAATAACACCTCGGACACGTGCTACAGTGTGACATATTTCCTTAACTGATGACAATAACACCTCGGACACGTGCTACAGTGTGACATTTTTCCTTTACTGATGACAATAACACCTCGGACACGTGCTACAGTGTGACATTTTTCCTTTTCTGATGACAATAACACCTCGGACACGTGCTACAGTGTGACATTTTTCCTTTACTGATGACAATAACACCTCGGACACGTGCCACAGTGTGACATTTTTCCTTTACTGATGACAATAACACCTCGGACACGTGCTACAGTGTGACATTTTTCCTTTACTGATGACAATAACACCTCGGACACGTGCTACAGTGTGACATTTTTCCTTTACTGATGACAATAACACCTCGGACACGTGCTACAGTGTGACATTTTTCCTTTACTGATGACAATAACACCTCGGACACGTGCTACAGTGTGACATTTTTCCTTTACTGATGACAATAACACCTCGGTCACGTGCTACAGTGTGACATTTTTCCTTTAATGATGACAATGACACCTCGGACACGTGCTACAGTGTGACATTTTTCCTTTACTGATGACAAGAAAACCTCCCACACATGCTACATTGTGACATATTCCCCTTATTGATGACAATAACACCTCGGACACGTGCTACAGTGTGACATTTTTCCTTTACTGATGACAATAACACCTCGGACACGTGCTACAGTGTGACATTTTTCCTTTACTGATGACAATAACACCTCGGACACGTGCTACAGTGTGACATTTTTCCTTTACTGATGACAATAACACCTCGGACACGTGCTACAGTGTGACATTTTTCCTTTACTGATGACAATAACACCTCGGACACGTGCTACAGTGTGACATTTTTCCTTTACTGATGACAATAACACCTCGGACACGTGCTACAGTGTGACATTTTTCCTTTACTGATGACAATAACACCTCGGACACGTGCTACAGTGTGACATTTTTCCTTTACTGATGACAATAACACCTCGGACACGTGCTACAGTGTGACATTTTTCCTTTACTGATGACAATAACACCTCGGACACGTGCTACAGTGTGACATTTTTCCTTTACTGATGACAATAAAACCTCGGACACGTGCTACAGTGTGACATATTCCCCTTGCTGATGACAATAACACCTCGGACACGTGCTACAGTGTGACATTTTTCCTTTACTGATGACAATAACACCTCGGACACGTGCTACAGTGTGAAACAGTGTGACATTTTTCCTTTACTGATGACAATAACACCTCGGACACGTGCTACAGTGTGACATTTTTCCTTTACTGATTTACGTGCTACAGTGATGACAATAACACCTCGGACACGTGCTACAGTGTGACATTTTTCCTTTACTGATGACAATAACACCTCGGACACGTGCTACAGTGTGACATTTTTCCTTTTCTGATGACAATAACACCTCGGACACGTGCTACAGTGTGACATTTTTCCTTTACTGATGACAATAACACCTCGGACACGTGCCAAAGTGTGACATTTTTCCTTTACTGATGACAATAACACCTCGGACACGTGCTACGTGCTACACTGTGACATTTTTCCTTTACTGATGACAATAACACCTCGGACACGTGCTACAGTGTGACATTTTTCCTTTACTGATGACAATAACACCTCGGACACGTGCTACAGTGTGACATTTTTCCTTTACTGATGACAATAACACCTCGGACACGTGCTACAGTGTGACATTTTTCCTTTACTGATGACAATAAAACCTCGGACACGTGCTACAGTGTGACATTTTTCCTTTACTGATGACAATAACACCTCGGACACGTGCTACAGTGTGACATTTTTCCTTTACTGATGACAATAACACCTCGGACACGTGCTACAGTGTGACATTTTTCCTTTACTGATGACAATAACACCTCGGACACGTGCTACAGTGTGACATTTTTACTTTTCTGATGACAATAACACCTCGGACACGTGCTACAGTGTGACATTTTTCCTTTACTGATGACAATAACACCTCGGACACGTGCTACAGTGTGACATTTTTCCTTTACTGATGACAATAACACCTCGGACACGTGCTACAGTGTGACATTTTTCCTTTACTGATGACAATAACACCTCGGACACGTGCTACAGTGTGACATTTTTCCTTTACTGATGACAATAACACCTCGGACACGTGCTACAGTGTGACATTTTTCCTTTACTGATGACAATAACACCTCGGACACGTGCTACAGTGTGACATTTTTCCTTTACTGATGACAATAACACCTCGGACACGTGCTACAGTGTGACATTTTTCCTTTACTGATGACAATAACACCTCGGACACGTGCTACAGTGTGACATTTTTCCTTTACTGATGACAATAACACCTCGGACACGTGCTACAGTGTGACATTTTTCCTTTACTGATGACAATAACACCTCGGACACGTGCTACAGTGTGACATTTTTCCTTTACTGATGACAATAACACCTCGGACACGTGCTACAGTGTGACATTTTTCCTTTACTGATGACAATAACACCTCGGACACGTGCTACAGTGTGAATCTTTTCTTTTACTGATGACAATAACACCTCGGACACGTGCTACAGTGTGACATTTTTCCTTTACTGATGACAATAACACCTCGGACACGTGCTACAGTGTGACATTTTTCCTTTAATGATGACAATGACACCTCGGACACGTGCTACAGTGTGACATTTTTCCTTTACTGATGACAATAAAACTTTGGACACATGCTACATTGTGACATATTCCCCTTATTGATGACAATAACACCTCGGACACGTGCTACAGTGTGACATTTTTCCTTTACTGATGACAATAACACCTCGGACACGTGCTACAGTGTGACATTTTTCCTTTACTGATGACAATAACACCTCGGACACGTGCTACAGTGTGACATTTTTCCTTTACTGATGACAATAACACCTCGGACACGTGCTACAGTGTGACATTTTTCCTTTACTGATGACAATAACACCTCGGACACGTGCTACAGTGTGACATTTTTCCTTTACTGATGACAATAACACCTCGGACACGTGCTACAGTGTGACATTTTATTGATGACAATAACACCTCGGACACGTGCTACAGTGTGACATTTTTCCTTTACTGATGACAATAACACCTCGGACACGTGCTACAGTGTGACATTTTTCCTTTACTGATGACAATAACACCTCGGACACGTGCTACAGTGTGACATTTTTCCTTTACTGATGACAATAACACCTCGGACACGTGCTACAGTGTGACATTTTTCTTTTTCTGATGACAATAACACCTCGGACACGTGCTACAGTGTGCTAAATAACACCTCGGACACGTGCTACAGTGTGAATTTTTCCTTTACTGATGACAATAACACCTCGGACACGTGCTACACTGTGACATTTTTCCTTTACTGATGACAATAACACCTCGGACACGTGCTACAGTGTGACATTTTTTCCTTTACTGATGACAATAAAACCTCGGACACGTGCTACAGTGTGACATTTTTCCTTTACTACAGTGTGACATTTTTCCTTTACTGATGACAATAACACCTCGGACACGTGCTACAGTGTGACATTTTTCCTTTACTGATGACAATAACACCTCGGACACGTGCTACAGTGTGACATTTTTCCTTTACTGATGACAATAACACCTCGGACACGTGCTACAGTGTGACATTTTTCCTTTACTGATGACAATAACACCTCGGACACGTGCTACAGTGTGACATTTTTCCTTTACTGATGACAATAACACCTCGGACACGTGCTACAGTGTGACATTTTTCCTTTACTGATGACAATAACACCTCGGACACGTGCTACAGTGTGACATTTTTCCTTTACTGATGACAATAACACCTCGGACACGTGCTACAGTGTGACATTTTTCCTTTACTGATGACAATAACACCTCGGACACGTGCTACAGTGTGACATTTTTCCTTTACTGATGACAATAACACCTCGGACACGTGCTACAGTGTGACATTTTTCCTTTACTGATGACAATAACACCTCGGACACGTGCTACAGTGTGACATTTTTCCTTTACTGATGACAATAACACCTCGGACACGTGCTACAGTGTGACATTTTTCCTTTACTGATGACAATAACACCTCGGACACGTGCTACAGTGTGACATTTTTCCTTTACTGATGACAATAACACCTCGGACACGTGCTACAGTGTGACATTTTTCCTTTACTGATGACAATAACACCTCGGACACGTGCTACAGTGTGACATTTTTCCTTTACTGATGACAATAACACCTCGGACACGTGCTACAGTGTGACATTTTTCCTTTACTGATGACAATAACACCTCGGACACGTGCTACAGTGTGACATTTTTCCTTTACTGATGACAATAACACATCGGACACGACACAGTGTGCTGATGACAATAACAGTGTGACATTTTTCTTTTACTGATGACAATAACACCTCGGACACGTGCTACAGTGTGACATTTTTCCTTTACTGATGACAATAACACCTCGGACACGTGCTACAGTGTGACATTTTTCTTTACTGATGACAATAACACCTCGGTCACGTGCTACAGTGTGACATTTTTCCTTTAATGATGACAATGACACCTCGGACACGTGCTACAGTGTGACATTTTTCCTTTACTGATGACAATAACACCTCAGACAGGTGCTACAGTTTTACATATTTCCTTAACTGATGACAATAACACCTCGGACACGTTCCACAGTGTGAATTCCTGTCTTAAAAAAATTGGGAATATCTTCGACGATGTTTCTTTGGTACGAAAGTAACTTTCTGGTATTGTTTTTCTATCAGGACGGTTTTCTGTCGGACAGAATATAGTCAAGGGCTCCGCCAACAGTAAACGGAATTGGACATCCACGGTGGAGTCATGGTACAATGAAAAAAACAGTTTTACCTATGGAGGATCAAATATGCTGGGACAGGTCGGACATTATACGCAGGTATTACCTCCCTTTATGTTTGTAGAGCGGAGTGACAGATGTCCATATCAAGGGTGAATAATAAATAGAATATTGTTTATGGGAAAACATGTCATGTTAAAATGAATAAATCTATATATAGCACGAGTCTTCAGGGTGTAACATACATCAGTTGTTATCAATATTATAAAAGGAGAGAAAAATCCCAATAGTTTTCCTGAAGGAAAGGGGACGGGGTAGCAATAATTCCTGGAGTTATGGCCTTTATTTAACTACTGAAACAGTGTCTGCTCGATAGCTCCAGTAGTTCCCAACACCTTAAACTTGATAGGAAGGTTTATTGTTACCACAGCTGGACTGGATCATGTCGGAATGTTATTGGCTGTCGGTAGTTTACTCCAGTCCACCTGTACTGACATTGTCTGAAAATGGCCGTAATGTGTTGATCAGACATTCGACCTATTGTGTCCACCGCCAAAACATTATCAGAATATTTTTCTTGTATTCAAGTTTTGGAGAACTTGATTTTTAAAATTTATCAACAAGATATAAATATCCTGCTCACCTAATTCGTCGCCTCACGAATCGTCGGTAAGACAATTACGGAGGTTTTACTGTGTCGTTCTCCTCACCTTACTTCCTGGCTATCATACTAATTCGTACTGTTGAAATTGTGAATTTGCGCGGGAAAATAACAAAGTTATACAGTAGTCATTCTGATATTTTGTAGTTAAACAAAGATATTCATTTCTCCCACACTTCTCGGGTACATTCTAGTTTATGGTAGGCAAACATAAATCTGTTTTCTATGGGGAAACATCATAATTTTATGTAGCTTACCCATAGCGCATATTGTCAACGTCTTCATTTCAAGTAACTAAACATGACGCAAATTGTTGACGTCATCAATTTCGACGCACGCTTATTGAATATTGGTGGTAGCCGTTGGCGAAGAGGCAAAGCAATTAACAAATCATTTACTTTTATAATTAAACATGGATTTAATCCGTGGACTGGATATCACAACCTCGAGCCTGGCCTGTGCTTATCAGGACGACTCTGTAACAGATAGAGCACATGGATTTGACACGAATTTCCGACCCATGATTCATATAATATATGTACTTCAGTGACAAGGGACCCGATCGCGGGAAAGCTGAAGTACGATGTTTGTTGATGAAAGGGTTAGCACCCACGTAAAATTAAATACCACGTGACGTCATATCCCGCGGGAAAGCTGAAGTACGATGTTTGTTGATAAAAGGGTTAGCACCCTCGTAAAATTAAATACCACGTGACGTCATATCCCGCGGGAAAGCTGAAGTACGATGTTTGTTGATGAAAGGGTTAGCACCCTCGTAAAATTAAATACCACGTGACGTCATATCCCGCGGGAAAGCTGAAGTACGATGTTTGTTGATGAAGGGATTAACGCCCACGTAAAATTAAAAACCACGTGACGTCACATCTCGCCTACTCCTTTGACATTTCAGTATTTGTCTTTGATTTGATTCCTGTATGTAGTTGGGAAACAGCGCTGTTGATTTGATTTACGTCTCTCTTTATCGGAGATCGAGCATCTCTTAAATTTCAAACATTAAGATTAGTGGAGGTAAATTCCAGGGATTAAGATTTTTCATAATTCCACGACAATATATGAAAAACTGGAAGTGGACACTAGATTATCACGTGTTTAGGTCAATTGACCTGTGTCCATGTTTCTCCTGTCGCCATGAACTGTCAGAACTCACACATTTCGCATTGTAAACTTTTCCCCACTCGTTGGATTTTGCTTAAACTTACCTAAAATGATAATGGGATCGCCCTGACTAGGTTCGCCTGGTGCTATTGAGCTGAAATTGGTGGAAAGGAATGGAAGTCGACAAAATGTCTATGTTTTAGATCCTTCTGGCAATGCTTCGAAATGGTAACGACGGCATGACTACACAATCATCGTTACACTTTTTCTTAACTTCCCGAGTTCCTCCATTGTGATTCAGTTCAACTTATCTGAAATAATCCTGAGATGGTTTGAACCAAGTATTTATAATTTTCGAATGATCCTCCAAATCTTTTGAAAAATCCATTTTTATCCCCCGCCCATCGGGGATATTTTCGTTGGGCGGGGATATTCAAATGGATTCCGTCCGTCCGGATGTTGCTTTTCGCATGATATCTTTTTAAGGACTGATAAGATTTTGATGAAACTTAGTTGGTACACTTGTTACCTTAATATCTTGCCCACGGCCGGTTAACGGCGAATTCCGCGCATATTCAATGAGGCTGCTGTGACCTGATTGACTGGTATCTTTCGGCACTCTAACTGAATGCTTTCCCCACGTTATCTAGGAACACATGAATCATGATGAAACTTGCTTGGTAGACTTGTTACCTTAGCCCTTTGTTCAAGTTTAATTATCGACAAATTCTGCAAATATTAAATGAGACTGCTGTGACCTGTTCTACTGATATCTTTTCCCGTTTTCCATGTAACTAACTTTTAATGTTTATATTTTACAAATGAGCATGGGCGGGAGATCGTGATGACTATGTCATTGTAAGGTTCTGTTCCAGTTCCAATGGTGTCATGGAGTTAGGATTTTTCTTGTAATATTTAAAAATGAAGTTAACATTGTGTTTCCTGGTAAATTCAGATGATTGCTTAAATCTGTTACTAACGCAAAACCGCTTCCAACGTGAACAAGTTTATGACCAAATTTTGTCTGAGGCAGCCTTCCGGTAGGAAAACCAGTTTTGTGTAAACGAGTAAACGATGTATCCCAGTACTCCAATGCTTGTAGCAAATTCCTCAAAAAATATTTCTCGGTCTGTAGGAATAACAGGATTTTGTTCAAAACTGGTCTGATGTATCATTGTTTCGATTATATTGGGTGGAGAATTTTAAATAAACATACGGGTTGGCCTCTGTAGAGGCAGCAGAAGGCCAAGACCCAATATTGGAAATGTAAATGTAATCTTCTGTTTGATGAAGACATTTGACATAAGTTGGTTTGAAGCTTTAAAACATCGATTTGGAAACACTTCACAAAATATTTGTAAATATTTTTTTATATAAAAACTGAAATATATATATAGGGACGTGATACAGGCCCTCGGTGGGTCTTGTTAAAAGTATTCCTACTTATTGTTGTCTGTTTCAGCTCGTGTGGGCGGACACCTACCTCGTGGGCTGTGGCTTCGCACTTTGTGGGTCCCTGCCGTTTTACGTCTGTGACTACGGGCCGAGGTAAAGTCTGGCAAAGTTGTAGGAGAATCAAGTATCAAGTCATGGACATAATTTGAAATCATCTGGGCCCGTATTCATGAAACCGATCTCAAGTATGAATTTTGTGCTCAAGCCTATGTCTTGTTTAAGTTAAAAATTAATAAACAAGACTGATTTTGCCAAAGATTAAAAAAAAATTGAAAGGACTACAAGTCAAAGTTATTTTCAATGTTTATATTTAACATTTGTATTATTTTATATGATTTATGCAAATCATAAAAAAGTTTGCTTGAACACAAAATCTATGCTTGAGCATGAGAATGGTTTCATGAATACGGATCCTGATCTCAAATGTCTTCCAACACTAATTCCAATGATCATTCTTCAAAACATTCACTCTGTAGTTGGGGGTTGACGAAGCATGCTCATTGAACGGGTTCGATCACCATTGCTGTATGTGGATTTGGTGAAGGTTGTACAACGGTTCAAGACAGGGGTACAAACTTTGATAAAAGTCAGCCCTACTTGACGAACGTATTTGAAGGAGGGCCTGCAATACTTGAGGGAAGAGGTGTGCTGTTTGAGGGAGGGCTTGCAATACTTGAGGGAAGAGGTGTGCTGTTTGAGGAAGGGCCTGCAATACTTGAGGGAAGAGGTGTGTTGTTTGAGGAAGGGCCTGCAATACTTGAGGGAAGAGGTGTGCTGTTTGAGGGAGGGCCTGCAATACTTGAGGAAAGAGGTGCGCTGTTTGAGGGAGGGCGTGCGATGTTTGACGAAGGGCGTGCAGTATTTGTTGAAAGACGTGTGATATTTTAGAAAAGACGTATGTGATGAAGGTGGAGTCAGTTTTCAGGATTGCATTTAAGGGCGTGCGATATTTGAAAAAGGGGCTGATGGAGGTGAGACATATTGTATGATATGGGATTTTTGAGGGAAGACATATTGTATAATATGGGATTTTTGAATGACGACATATTGTATGATATGGGATATTTGATGGGACGACATATTGTATGATATGGGATATTTGAGGGAAGACATATTGTATGATATGGGATATTTGATGGGACGACATATGGTATGATATGGGATATTTGATGGGACGACATATGGTATGATATGGGGTATTTGAGGGAAGACATATGGTATGATATGGGATATTTGAGGGAAGACATATTGTATGATATGGGATATTTGAGGGAAGACATATGGTATGATATGGGATATTTGATGGGACGACATATGGTATGATATGGGGTATTTGAGGGAAGACATATGGTATGATATGAGATATTTGATGGGACGACATATGGTATGATATGGGATATTTGATGGGACGACATATGGTATGATATGGGGTATTTGATGGGACGACATATGGTATGATATGGGATATTTGATGGGACGATATATGGTATGATATGGGGTATTTGAGGGAAGACATATGGTATGATATGGGGTATTTGATGGGACGACATATGGTATGATATGGGATATTTGATGGGACGATATATGGTATGATATGGGGTATTTGAGGGAAGACATATGGTATGATATGGGATATTTGATGGGACGACATATGGTATGATATGGGATATTTGATGGGACGATATATGGTATGATATGGGGTATTTGAGGAAAGACATATGGTATGATATGGGGTATTTGAGGGAAGACATATGGTATGATATGGGATATTTGAGGGAAGACATATGGTATGAAATGGGATATTTGAGGGATCATATATGGTATAATATTCGATATTTGAGTGGAGACATATAACATTATATGTGATATTTGAGGGAAGACATATTGTATGATATGTGACATTTGAGGGAACACATATGGTATTATATGTAATATTTGAGGGAACACACATGGTATGATATGTGATGTTTTATGAAAGATATATCAGATACGATAAACACAGATAAATCTTCTAAAAGGGTAACTGTATCAGATGAAGGGTGTATATTTGCATATTTACGCAAGTCGTTCGTGTTGGTGAGATAAAATACTGAAACGATTTCCCTTGCGTCGTCCCGTTATTGTACTTAGCTCATCGCATGAAATATTGTTAAATTTTGCTGCTTTGAATTATTGTCATCAGTGGAAACATCGGCCAGTTTGACAAGCCTTACAACAGGACATCCGGGTCACTGAGGAAACTAACTGGTGAGTGAGCTGTCATTTGATTGGTCAATATCGCCACGTATCGCTCACAGGCGATATTATCATGCTATCATAAGTGTTTTGAATATATGAGATTTGTTTCTATGATATAAACAGGTAACTTGATTTACGACTTAATTCAGTTAAGGAGGTACGACAGCAGAGCATGTCAAAATAAAAGAAACTAGGCTTATTGATCATTAAGCATACAGCCGTTCATGCCAGTCGTTATCAGAACTATTTCCCGTTTAAATAGTACTTCACAGCTTTATGATACAATGAGATACTATTTCTATTCCTTTTTAATTTAAATATGTTATTAGGTTGATGTGACAACATACTATTGATGTCTGTAGCGGGTAGTCAACCATCACATCGCTAATTATAAGACATACTGAGGCACTTGTGTTTTATCGTAGATTGTAGCGGGATTAGTTGCCATGGTGACAGAAGACTCACTCCGTCATGCACGTGTGAGTGTGATCCACAGCTCCACCCCGCATTCACCGCAGGAAAGACCTGTCAACGTAAGTCAGGATTACCTCCCTTGCCAGACCTTTAAGTTTTAGTGTTCTGTTCGTCTTGTAGCACTTCAATTTTTCCCGGTAATGTTACAAAAAAAAGAAATAAAAAAGAAATAAGTCTTATTGTCAAAGAGACGACCATGATATTTCTTCGCGAGGAAACTGAATGTCAGTTATGTTTGATTGAAAGAGTTACTAACTGTACAATGTAATGGTACATTTTTGCGTCTTTTGAATGTTCTTCGAGAGTAGAGACTGCAGACACTGCAGTGTATCCGTTATGGAATAGTCCTTTAAAGATGGCGGAGGAAGATGGTCACCAAAGATAGGTATTCACCTTAAGATAAAAATTAATACAATCTGGTCTAGACAAGTACTGTGCAAAACTCAAAAATACTCAAAATTTATGTATTGTTTGTTGTTGTTCACATACTGACAAGAATTGGAAATAAAGGACACGACACACTCTTCTACACCAGCTGCTTATCTCGATCTTTCCCTACAAGCCAACATGAACAGCTTTCCATCAAGCTGTAGGATAAACTTAACGATTTCAATTTTCCCAATGTGAACATTCAATTCATGGATAGCAATATCCCTGCATCTCAAACCTATGATATTTAGATGTCACAGTTGATTCTGTATTAAAGGGTTTGTTCCTATTATCACGATTTTTCGTGCAAGAAGTCGTTAACTGACAGAAAGACTCATAACACAGAATTTCAAAAATGCAGGTTGATGAAAATTATGGAGAAGCTTTACGGTGTCATTGAGATCTCATTTCTTTTTGTGCGATAAGTTGCTGGACATATTTGATGCTCGTTAGTTTGCATGTTTCTTCCGTTATTGTATACCTTGTTCGCTAATTCTTCCGGAACACCTGCTGTTATTCTCATTGTACTTTTTCATGAGTCACCGTGAAAATTTAACTTTTGTTCATATTTTGCCCTATTTTCACTAAATTTGAGTTTGGATTATGATTATGTTGATATGTTTGCAATCTCTTGTTATTTTTGGCATCGTGACGGATACGCCGTGATTTTTATGCTGGTGTCGAAATATTTAAGCAGTTTAATAGTCAGGGAGACACTCCAAAACATCCGCTTTTTAGCGATTTTTTTTATGTTCACCACCCTACAATACATACTTAGTAAATACGAAATCAAATAAAAATAATATTGTTCGCATTACGAAGTGGCCCACGTACATACATAACAACTTACGGTCTTAAATGTCGGGTTTGCCTGTAATGTTAACAGCTTAGGAGTCGACACCACACATAACGTAATGCATGCTTCTGTATTCTGATATTCAAGACTGTTAATTACTATTGTTGTTATCGGAATGGTAGAGGAAATGGTTTTTAAAGTTTGGTTGATCATCTTTGTTCAATCCTTCTGCCGATTTCTAAATGTCGCTAAACGAATCTGCGCCGTATATATATCAAGGCCTATGACGCATGGCTGCCAGTGGAAAAATCGGGAGAAATTTTCAGCATTTCAATTGATGATTATTGAGAGTGAAACCATTAGCTTCAGTAAAGAAAGACATCCAGTTTCGGGATTTGCCAAGAGAGTTTGTACGTAGGTCAATTTCATTAAACGATAATAGTACGTCAATGACCGGCATCTGTCAGTTTTAATGAAAAGAAAGATTAATCATACATAAGGATGCAGTTTATTCACGCGTCACGCGGTGTTATCAAAGAAGATATTTTTTTCCACGTGTAAGTTGTACTTTTAGGACCAAATTTGGGTATTCTCAGTCTTTATTGTTTAGGTACTGTGTAAGATATTTGGGTATTCTCAGTCTTTATTGTTTAGGTACTGTGTAAGATATTTGGGTATTCTCAGTCTTTATTGTTTAGGTACTGTGTAAGATATTTGGGTATTCTCCGTCTTTATTGTTTAAGTACTGTGTAAGATATTTGGGTATTCTCAGTCTTTATTGTTTAGGTACATTGTAAGATATTTGGGTATTCTCAGTCTTTATTATTTACGTACTGTGTAAGATATTTGGGTATTCTCAGTCTTTAATGTTTAGGTACATTGTAAGATATTTGGGTATTCTCAGTCTTTATTGTTTAAGTACTGTGTAAGATATTTGGGTATTCTCAGTCTTTATTGTTTAGGTACTGTGTAAGATATTTGGGTATTCTCAGTCTTTATTGTTTCGGTACTGTGTAAGATATTTGGGTATTCTCCGTCTTTATTGTTTAGGTACTGTGTAAGATATTTGGGTATTCTCAGTCTTTATTGTTTAGGTACTGTGTAAGATATTTGAATATTTCAGAATGTTGTAGTCAGTTGTTTTGTTACACAATTGAATTACAACGATCCACACAGCAGGTAAGATATTCCATTCCTAAAAGTTCAACCAGAAACACCACAAGGTGGCGTGTAGCCATGGGCTTCTCCAATCATTATCAAGAGGGCGGAGCTAGATTTTTTTTTCATCGAGAAATGAAAAAAAAAAAAAACGACGAATAAGAAAGCTGCATTTTGCGTACAAACAACGAATAATAGATCATTTGAGCATGTGGACAAATACTGCTCTCATAAAATCAGGGTTTTCATTGAAAATCTCGATGAATCGATATAAACCTATTTTATTGTAACCAATACTATTGGATTGGCACAAGTTTTCCTAATAATGTTAAACCCTTTTGCCATTAAATTTGACAAAATACATTGAAAAGACAGAATTTACACGGAGAGAGAGAGAGAGAGAGAGAGAGAGAGAGAGAGAGAGAGAGAGAGAGAGAGAGAGAGAGGCGTTGGTGGGGGCGGGCGGCGTGCTGTTCTAAAGTTCATCACATCACGCGCCCAATCCTAATCGCACGCCAAGTATACTGCCTCCTGAAGTTGATAAAAGCCGAGGTTAGATGCAGGCGAAACCTTCATAAAGTAATGAGCTTGATACACACGGAACCAATAAATAGGCGAGCATTCACGAAGACAAACGTGAGCGGCCGTTATGAATATTCCATGTAAAGGTCAACACGAAAAGCCATTTCGGTTTGCATATACATGTTAAATAGTTGTATGCTACAGATTTCTCATTGTATTACAGTTGACTGCAAGGTGAAGGACGTTTCATCTACCTGCGGCCCCACTGGCACGTATAAACAGACGGACTGTAATAATGCTTATGTCACGTTTTACTGTCCACACATGTGCAGATCATGTCCCTGTAAGTAACACATAAGGTAGAAATATCTCTACATGCATGAGACATACCTGTTGCCCAGGTGATTTGGACATATTTTCACAACACGTGTGTCCAAGCTTAATATATTTCGTGGAGATATTGTACTCACGATGATACTGTGAACTCACATATTTTGTGGGACTCAATTTCGTGGTTGTTCAAAATATACTATTTTGTGGAGAATTAATGTTGAGTTTAAGTTGATGTGTATACTAATTGTAACAGTTCGTGGACATACATTAAAGTGTATGTATTCGCGGATTCAGAGTACTCCTGAAATCAACGAAAATATATCCCCCTCGCCCCCCAAAACTTAATGACTATACAGTATATGATTGGTATTGTGCTTATCTTTATCTTATAGTAAGTTTTTTTGTTCAGTCGTCTGTAACCTCGTTCTTGAATGTGGACTTTTATTTATCAAAACTATGTATGATTCATTTTCAGATGCCGATCCCCACTTCATCTCCCAATCAAGTGCTGGAAATCTCGCCTTAAACGTGACTTTGCCTTCATATCATACCACAGAACCGCCAGGCCGACTAACGAATATCAAACACGTCTGCCTTCATATCATACCACAGAACCACCGGGCCGACTAACGAATATTAAACACGTCTGCCTTCATATCATACCACAGAACCACTGGGCCGCCCAACGAATATCAAACACGTCCGACTTCATATCACACCACGGAACCACCAGGGCGACTAACGATTATCAAAAAGGCCCGACTTCATATCACACGACGGAACCACCAGGCCGATTAACGAATATCAAACACGTCTGCTTTCATATCATACAACGGAAACACCAGGCCGACCAACGAATATAAAAAATGCCCGACTTCATATCACAGGACGGAACCACTAGGCCGACTAACGAATATAAAACACGTCTGCCTTTATATCACACAACTGTCTTCATATCATACCACAGAACCGCCAGGCCGACTATCGAATATTAAAACACGTCTGCTTTCATATCATACCACAGAACCGCCAGGCCGACTAACGAATATCAAACACGTCTGCCTTCATATCACACAACGGAACCACCAGGCCGACCAACGAATAGCAAAAAAGCCCGACTTCATATCACACGACGGAACCACTAGGCCGACTAACGAATATCAAACACACGTGAATATAAAAAATGCCCGATTTCATATCACACGACGGAACCACTAGGCCGACTAACGAATACCAAACACGTCTGCCTTCATATCACAAAACGGAACCACCAGACCAACTAACGAATATCAAACACGTCTGCCTTCATATCACACAACTGAACAACCAGGGCGATAAACGAATAGAAAAAAAGCCCGACTTCATATCACACGACGGAACCACTAGGCCGACTAACGAATATCAAACACGTCTGCCTTCATATCACACAACGGAACCACCAGGCCGACTAACGAATATCAAACACGTCTGCCTTCATATCATACCACAGAACCACCAGGCCGACTAACGAATATCAAACACGTCTGCCTTCATATCACACTAACGAATATCAAACACGAACCACCACCAGGCCGACTAACGACTGCCTTCATATCACAACAACGGAACCACTAGGCCGACCAATGAATATAAAAAATGCCCGATTTCATAACACGGAACCACAGGCCGATAACGAATATAAACACGTCTGCCTTCATATCATTCCACAGAACCGCCAGGCCGACTAACGAATTTCAAAAACGTCTGTCTTCATATCACACAACGGAACCGTCAGGCCGACTAACGAATATCAAACTCGTCCGACTTCATATCACACAACGGAACCACCAGGCCGAGCAACGAATATATGCCCGCCTTCATTCATATCACACAAAACACTAGGCCGACTAACGCCTTCATACACACACGACTAACGAATATCAAACACGTATGTCTTCATATCAATCAACAGAAACACTTTGCCGACGAACGAATATCAAACACGTCTGCCTTCATATCACAAACGGAACCACCAGGCCGACCAACGATTTTAAAAAAATGCCCGACTTCATATCACACGACGGAACCACTGAGCCGACTAACGGATACCAAACACGTCTGCCTTCATATCACAAAACGGAACCACAAGGCCGACTAACGAATATCAAACACGTCTGCCTTCGTATCACAAAAAGGAACCACTAGGCCGACTAACGAATTTCAAACACGTCTGCCTTCATATCACACAACGGAACCACCAGGCCGACCAATGAATATAAAAAATGCCCGATTTCATATCACACGACGGAACCACTAGGCCGACTAACGAATACCAAACACGTCTGCCTTCATATCACAAAACGGAACCACCAGACCAACTAACGAATATCAAATACGACCAGCTTCATATCACACAACGGAACCAACAGACAAACGAACGAGCATCAAACCGGACCAGCTTCATATCACACAACGGAACCAACAGACAAACTAACGAGCATTAAACACGACCAGCTTCATATCACACAACGGAACCAACACACAAACTAACGAGCATCAAACACGACCAGCTTCATATCACACAACGGAACCAACAGGCAAACTAACGAGCATCAAACACGACCACCTTCATCTGACACAACGGAACCAACCGACATACTCACGAGCTTCAAAAACGACCACCTTCATTTCACACAACGGAACCAACATAAAAACTAACTAGCGTCAAACACGTCCAGCTTTATATCACACAACGGAACCAACAGACAAACTAACGAGCATCAAACACGTCCAGCTTCATAACACACAACGGAACCAACAGACAACATAACGAGCATCAAACACGTCCAGCTTCATATCACACAACGGAACCAACAGACAAACTAACGAGCATCAAACACGTCCAGCTTCATATCACACAACGGAACCAACAGACAAACTAACGAGCATCAAACACGTCCAGCTTCATATCACACAACGGAACCAACAGACAAACTAACGAGCATCAAACACGACCAGCTTCATATCACACAACGGAACCAACAGACAAACTAACGAGCATCTAACACGTCCAGCTTCATATCACACAACGGAACCAGCAGACAAACTAACGAGCATCACATACGACCAGCTTCATATCACACAATGGAACCAAGAGACAAACTAACGAGCATCTAACACGACGAGATTAATATCACACAACGGAACCAACAGACAAACTAACGAGCATCAAATACGATCAGCTTCATATCATACAACGGAACCAACAGACAAACTAAAGAGCATCAAACACGACCAGCTTCATATCACACAACGGAACCAACAGACAAACTAACGAGCATCAAACACGACCAGCTTCATATCACACAACGGAACCAACAGACAAACTAACGAGCATCAAACACGACCAGCTTCATATCACACAACGGAACCAACAGACAAACTAACGAGCATCAAACACGTCCAGCTTCATATCACACAACAGAACCAACAGACAAACTAACGAGCATCAAACACGACCAGCTTCATATCACACAACGGAACCAACACACAAACTAACGAGCATCAAACACGACCAGCTTCATATCACACAACGGAACCAACAGGCAAACTAACGAGCATCAAACACGACCAGCTTCATATCACACAACGGAACCAACAGACAAACTAACGAGCATCAAACACGACCAGCTTCATATCACACAACGGAACCAACAGACAAACTAACGAGCATCAAAAACGACCAGCTTCATATCACACAACGGAACCAACAGACAAACTAACGAGCATCAAACACGACCAGCTTCATATCACACAACGGTATCAGAAGACAAACTAAGGAGCATTAAACACGACCAGCTTCATATCATACAACGGAACCAACAGACAAACTAACAAGCATCAAACACGACCAGCTGCATATCACACACCAGAACCAACAGACAAACTAACGAGCATCAAACACGACCAGCTTCATATCACACAACGGAACCAACAGACAAACTAACGAGCATCAAACACGACCAGCTTCATATCACACAACGGAACCACCAGACAAACTAACGAGCATCAAACACGACCAGCTTCATATCACACAACGGAACCAACAGACAAACTAACGAGCATCAAACACGTCCAGCTTCATATCACACAACGGAACCAACAGACAAACTAACGAGCATCAAACACGACCAGCTTCATATCACACAACGGAACCAACAGACAAACTAACGAGCATCAAACACGTCCAGCTTCATATCACACAACGGAACCAACAGACAAACTAACGAGCATCAAACACGACCAGCTTCATATCACACAACGGAACCAACAGACAAACTAACGAGCTTCAAACACGACCAGCTTCATATCACACAACGGAACCAACAGACAAACTAACGAGCATCAAACACGTCCAGCTTCATATCACACAACGGAACCAACAGACAAACTAACGAGCATCAAACACGTCCAGCTTCATATCACACAACGGAACCAACAGACAAACTAACGAGCGTCAAAAACATCCAGCTTCATACCACACAACGGAACCAACAGACAAACTAACGAGCATCAAACACGTCCAGCTTCATATCACACAACGGAACCAACAGACAAACTAACGAGCATCAAACACGACCAGCTTCATATCACACAACGGAACCAACAGACAAACTAATGAGCATCAAACACGACCAGATTCATATCACACAACGGAACCAACAGACAATCTAATTAGCATCAAACACGACAAGATTCATATCACACAATGGAACCAACAGACAAACTGACGAACTTCAAACACGACCAGCTTCATATCACACAACGGCACCAACCGACATACTCACGAGCTTCAAACACGACCAGCTTCATATCACACAACGGAACCAACAGACAAAATAACGAGCATCAAACACGTCCAGCTTCATATCACACAACGGAACCAACAGACAAACTAACGAGCATCAAACACGTCCAGCTTCATATCACACAACGGAACCAACAGACAAACTAACGTGCATCAAATACGACCAGCTTCATATCACACAACTGAACCAACAGACGAACTAATGTGCATCAAATACGACCAGTTTCATATCACACAACGGAACCAACAGACAAACTAACGAGCATCAAACACGACCAGCTTCATATCACACAACGGAACCAACAGACAAACTAACGAGCATCAAACACGTCCAGATTCATATCACACAACGGAACCAACAGACAAACTAACGAGCATCAAACACGTCCAGCTTCATATCACACAACGGAACCAACAGACAAACTAACGAGCATCAAACACGACCAGCTTCATATCACACAACGGAACCAACAGACAAACTAACGAGCATCAAACACGTCCAGCTTCATATCACACAACGGAACCAACAGACAAACTAACGAGCATCAAACACGACCAGCTTCATATCACACAACGGAACCAACATACAAACTAACGAGCATCAAACACGACCAGCTTGATATCACACAATGGAACCAACAGGCAAACTAACGAGCATCAAACACGACCAGCTTTATATCACACAACGGAACCAACAGACAAACTAACGAGCATCAAACACGTCCAGCTTCATATCACACAATGGAACCAACAGACAAACTAACGAACATCAAACACGCCCAAC